CAAATCCTCAATAACACTAGTTTACAAAATAACATAAAAAGTGTGAACTTTAGTGGTTGACCAACGTTTCAAATGCAAAATCCTACGCTGAATTCAATGCCGTGGTCAGAAAAAATTAAAGTAGAGCCATTTTTGAGATGTACAAAAATTTTGATTTTTTGAATTTTGGACAAAAGTACGATTACTAAAATGTCAATATCTTTGGAACTAGTGCACCAATTTTGAATCTTTTTTATGAAAATGAAGCTAAATAAATTTGCTATCGTTCAATAGATCATTATGTCTTGATTAAAAATTTAATTTTGAAGTCATTTAAAAATTTACAGCATTTTTTTTTATTTTTCCTGCGAATTTTCCATAACAATCTTGTTTTAATCAACATTTTAATGAGATGAAAAAATTCAAAAAATCATTCCATAATTTATTCTTAAAGTCCATTAAAAACTGGAGAAAATGAGCCTTTAATGGATGAAATCGGTTGGAAATTGTCGAAATTATGAAATTTTTTGTAAAATCATGGAAATTGAATGTTCCAAGATTGGCCGTTGTCCCGCTCCTAGGTTCATGCACCACTTCCAGTAAGCCTTTCTGCGGACGTGTACGCATACGGTGCATTTCAATAACACTACCAGCTGTCACGCAAAATTAAATGGGATATTTTCAACAATATAATTTACGCTAGTGTTTGTGAGACCCGCTCGGCGAGAACCTAACGCAACCAACTCAATTTGACAGCTTTCTTTCTTTAACATTGCTTAACGATGTATACGACAAAACGTGAATTCAAGTGTAAAAATGATCCTCAAAAGTTTTGTTACGCGTGTGGCAACTATATATTTACAAAATCGGTCAATTTCACTGCTTCGTTGAAAACTGCATACATGCTTTATTTTAAAATTGAGACTTTGACGAACCGTGGATTCCAAAAGTATTATGTAGTTCGTGCAAAACGTGCTTGGCTAGGTGGATGTCAGGCGCAAGGTAAATTTATTTTTTGAATAACTTTCATATAAACAATTTATGTACAGCATGGTAGTGCTTTGTTCTTTCCTGATTGACATTATCTTACTTCATCTATTTTTGGTAAGTGTTAATGTCTTACTTACTAACTCACTTATTTGTTATCTGTCAGCCGCTATTTGTCCTTTGACATGCCCACCATATGGCGTCGACCATTTTGTCATGCAACGGATTGTTATTTCTGCTTGACAAAAGTTAAGCAACAAGGACGTCACAAAACAGTTGAGTATCCACAAGTGGCTTCTATGACAAAACCTGTTCCACATGCAAGTTCGGTCCCGTATCCTGTTTATCCAAAGCGGAAACGAGCGCCCTCTGTTGAATCGACCGTTACAAAAAGTGAGGAGGAATGCAAGGAGGAATGCGAGGAAGACTTCGAGGTGGAATTGGAAAGAAACCCAAAACTGTTTACACAATCCGAATTTAATGATTTGGTGCGAGATCTCGACTTATCGAAGGAGAAATCCGAATTGCTGGCATCACGCTTGAAAAAACACAACATGCTGAGCAAGGAGATCAAAATTTCTTGTCACAGGAATCGTCACAAGAAATTTGACAAATATTATTCTACAAAGGACAAGGCATGTTTTTGCCATGACGTAAACGGCTTGTTTGAAGAGTTTGGTGAGCCATCTGATCCAGCTGAATGGCGTTTATTCATCGATAGCAGCAAGTTGAGCTTGAAAGCCGTTTTACTGCATCAAGGGAATGAGAAACCTTCTATTCCATTAGCTCATGCCGTTAATATGAAGGAAACGTATGAATCAATGGCTCTATTGCTCAATTTGATAAATTACAATCAACACAATTGGAAAATTTGTTCCGATCTTAAAGTGGTTGCCATGTTGACTGGATTGCAACAGGGATACACAAAATATATGTGTTTTTTGTGTAAATGGGACAGTCGAGCTCGTAAGGAACACTACGTCCGAAAAGATTGGCCAAAACGGGATAATTTCACAATTGGTAAAGACAACGTTAAAAATGATCCTCTTGTGGTAAAAGAACGCATAATACTTCCACCACTACATATAAAACTTGGGCTATTCAAAAATTTCGTCAAAGTGTTGCAAAAAGAAAGGCCGGCATTCCAGTACTTGAAATCAGTATTTCCAAATTTATCTGACGCAAAGATAAAGGAAGGTGTATTTGTTGGCCCACAGATCAAAAAACTGCTCAATGATTCCGCATTCAATACAGTTTTGACACCAGATGAGGAAGAAGCGTGGAAATCGTTCCAGCGTGTTGTCACAACCTTTTTAGGAAATTTCAGAAGCCCAGATTATGAGGAAGCCGTCGATGAATTGCTCAAAAATTATGAGAAAATAGGTATAAATCAAAAATATTGTGTTTGTTACATATAATTAATTTCAAATCCTATTATTTCACTGAACACAGGTGTGAATATGTCTTTGAAGATACATTTCCTACATTCTCACATGGATTTTTTCCCGGAAAATCTTGGTGACGAGAGTGATGAGCACGGCGAACGTTTTCACCAACAAATGAAGATGATGGAACGTCGTTACCAAGGGTTTTGGGATGAAGCAATGATGGGTGACTATTGTTGGTTTCTGATTAGAGAAACAAGTTCAAAACATCGAAGACAAAGTCATTCGATTCTCAATCATTTTTAATAAAACCTAAATAAATTTCTTTTGTATCAACTCGGTTTTAAATCCTGATATGCCTTAATCAAATTGATATGTAGAGAAAAGAATCTCCCATGAAAACTTTACATGCGATTTGGATGCTTACAACTACACCTAGAAAAGGAACTCTAAAGCTGTTGTATTTCAGCAACATTTTTAAGTGTTTTACAAAAATGCTCATAACTTCGACAATTTTCAACCGATTTCATCCATTAAAGACTCATTTTCTCCGGTTTTGAATGGACTTTAAGAATAAATTATGGAATGATTTTTTGAATCTTTTTATCTCATTAAAAATGTTGGTTAAAACAAGATTTTTATGGAAAATTCGCAGGAAAAATAAAAAAAAATGCTGTAAATTTTTAAATGACTTCAAAATAAAATTTTTAATTAAGACATAATATTCGAGTGAACGATAGCAAATTTATTTAGCTTCATTTTCAAAAAAAAAAGATTTAAAATTGGTGCACTAGTTCCAAAGATATTGACATTTTAGTAATCGTACTTTTGTCCAAAATTCAAAAAATCAAATTTTTTGTATATCTCAAAAATGGCTCTACTTTAATTTTTTCTGACCACGGCATTGAATTCAGCGTAGGATTTTGCATTGGAAATGATCATCACCTTACCGCGTTCAAAAATGCTCTAAACTAGTGTAATTCACACAAGCATTATGTATTCTCTATAATTCTCTATATAATATAGTCCATTTTACCCCCTTCATTCTTGAGGCGAAGTAAATTCAATAACGTTTCAATGTGTTTGACGGAATTGCTTAAAAATTTGTTACTCTTCATCAAATTTGACGGTACGTGTGGAAACGTTCGTAAATTAATATGAAGTCATCTTTGATCTTTGATTATTTGCTCAAACCCGATCGTAAGAGCGAGGTAAAGTGCAAGTTGTGCTTAGTATGGAAAATAAATCTTAACCCTACATAAATCTACATTTGTGCCGAGAGCCGAAATTTGTCGGGATAAGGATGGACGATGGGTAAACAGGTAAAATGCACCCCCTTAAGGAAAATAGGCTACATTTCTAACGTTTATTCTTTAATTGATGAAACAATCGCGTATATTCGTTGCTTTGGAAGTTGAGAATAAGTTGTAATCAATTTTGTCTTCACTGGCAGTTAAATTAAAAAGGTACTAAATTAAAACTAAATTGAAAGAGTAAAAAAGTATATGATAATTATTATTCCGGCCCGGTGGTCGAAGGAACAGTACAATGAACACCTGAATGACGGAGAGGCAGAGTGAAGCGGTGTGAATTTGCCGTTCCGTTTATTCGTAGACTTTTTCTTCGACGGATGGAGAACAATTTGTTCGTCAATGCTTCCATCAACTTGGAGCGAGATCACGATAGGGACTTTAAGGAGATAGATACATGATTCATTGTAATGGGACATGAGACTAGCCAAATAATCTAGGTAGAATGAAATCTGAATCTCTTTCAATGAGATTTAGGATGAACAATTGCCGTTTATTCTATTATAATTTGTAATATTTTTACTGAAGCATATATTTAATTCACCACTCATAGACATTATGTGTGCCAATGGTAGCGAAGCATAATTTATACAAAAATAATGTACAACAAGAGGTCACTTTTAAGGACTTCTACTTCTACCAAATGTATGTACACAGCAAAAAATTAATTTTAATATTACATCCAAGAGGCTGCACTTCAATCATGTCGAAAATCTCCTGTTATTTTAATGGCCACAAAAACAAGCAAATGCAGTAAAAGCAGCGTAATGTCAGTTCATGCACTGTTGTCTTTTTTGGCAAGTAATATTACACCATATTTTTGACACGATTGAAGTGCATCCACTGAGATGTGATATTTAAATTAATTTTTTGCTGTGTATACTATTTGTGTTGCATTATAGTTTGAATAATAAAAACAAATCTCAAACCCAAGATTTGTTCCGTCGAACTGTAGCACAGATTTTAATTAGACCGGAATCAGCCAATCCGACGAAATTTGCATAGGTAAGCCAATCCAATTAATAACATTAAGCGGACACGAGCGGACAATATTTCCAGCTGAAATAAACTCACCTATGCGTGTAGTACCGTCGTCGAGTTCGTTCTATGTGATGCAATATCACTATATCTTCCATAACGGCACCGGAACCAATTTCAATAGAATTTTATAACAGCACAATGTCACCGGAAGCGCCATAGTTAATTCAATCTTCCATATTCGATTTTCAGTCAGATTTCTCCGCAACGTTATTTGTAATAAATGTAAACCACCTCGCGGCTACCGCACATAGAACGATGAAAGGTTATGTATGATGGTTTTGTGCTCTCGTAATTGCAGATGTTCCTGATGCGTACGTTCGACTCGGTAGCTCGCTGGATCCGGACTCGATCCGGGAAGGTACGGACGTCTATTTCGACTGCATAGTGACAGCTCATCCCGCTGTCTACAAGGTCGAATGGAAGCATAACGTAAGTTCCAATGCGATCCTGCGTGTGTGATATGCGAAATAACGAACGCCTTTTACCGCCTCTATATCCTTTCCTTTTGTCTCTATTCACATGCCACACTTCCGTGCGGTTCGAAACCAAACTCGGTGAAATGTTAATTACAGAACAAAACACTGCCGCACAACATATCGCAGGGCGTCATCGTAAGCAACCACTCGCTGGTGCTGCAGGGAGTTTCGCGAACCACAGCCGGAAATTACTCCTGCGTCGGGTTCAATGCGGAAGGCGAGGGCAGCAGTCCGGTGTTAGAGCTGAACGTGATGTGTAAGTGAATAATTGAATTTTTCATCTGCCTACAAGTCATCCTCGGGGTAACTGCGCGTATGAACACCATCGGGGAACTGGCGTTTTATGAAAGTTCATGAAACGCATCATAAATTTCAGTCAATCTAGAGGTCTAAGTACCATTACTTTTTATTTTTTTTGTCAAGTGTAACTCTATGGAATACTCTCAAACTTCTAGAGATAGCTGAATGTTGTTGATAATTGAAAATATTGCCAGTTTACATCGATCAAATGAATTTTGAATCAAATTATTTTTTTAAACATCATTCAGTTGTTAGGTTTGTCAACAACCCATTAGTATTATTTGTAAACTCATTTACACTATCAAATTCCAGTTGTTGAGCTAACTAAGCTAAGCAGTCATCCCTGCAGGCAATCTACAATTTCGTTCTCCATCATGAACTAACTTCATTTCTTATGCACTCTATCCACGTTTTTTCAGACGCGCCCACATGTGCCCCCAACCAGCAACGGGTGTATGGCGTTGCCAAGCAGGAAAACGCCGAGATCAGGTGCATAGTTGATGCTAATCCTCCAGATGTGGAGTTCAAATGGACGTTTAATAATTCAGCCGAGAGTATCGATGTCCAGGCGAGCCATATATCAAGACTAGGTAATTAAGCCCGTCATTGCCAACTGTCAGCACAGGCATCCTCACCAGCGCGGTGGTCATCCATTTTTTCCCCCTGGGAAACCACTAACGAAATCCTTTTCTGTACTCTGTACTGGAAAAGGTTCTGTTCACCATCGACTACACATTTTGTAAATGGATGATTTTTGGTTTGCAGGATGTGCGGCGGCGTGATGGAAGAGTGATATTTAGGTACAATAAACACATTCAAGAAAATATTCCCCATTAATATATATAAAGCAACAATGAGTGAAGTTGTAATGAAATTTCCTACACAGACAAACATTCTTAATGTTACTTTAAACATCCATGAATGTAAACTTGTATTTCTATCACGCAAACTATCAACTTGCAAGAAATATTGCATACAATGATTGATGGTCGCATTCAATATTGATAATATTTTATTAATTGTCTCATAATTTAACATAATCTATAATGTTATATTGTTTGATGTATAACGCTTCATTATGTGCATCATATTGAATAAAAATTTACAATACTTTTTCGAACTGTGTAGTATTAACAATTAAATTGATTACAAACTTGTAAACATTGTTTGGGAGGTGGTCCTGACTTTCCTCCGGGTGAACTGTATTAGGAATAGTTGTGATGAATGCCTTCCTCCTTAGGTTCTCCTTGAATTCAAACACTTCACGTTTACAAAATAAAAATTCATTCACACTTAAAAATCACACATTTATCACACTACTTTAATTGCGCTTTATTCTAACATAAATATATTGGTCAATAACATAAATTATTGACTACGTTTCTAGAACAGTTCGAACCGTTTTCCGACGCGTATTACAATCATCGAGAACGAAAGAGTCCACTAGTTTCCTTTCTCCTCACCTCTTTTACCGCACATCGATTCTGGCTTGCCCTGAAACTACTGTAATTTCTGAAAAGATGCAACAAATAACCTCTCTCGTGCACCAGAGGGACGGTCAAACTGTTTCTACTGTTCGATTTGGAAGAACACATAGCTTTTCTATCGGTCTATCTAATGATCCCGTTGCTGTCTTCAGTGTAATCACTCGGATTACGCCGTCCACTCCAGGATGCATTTGCTGTATTCTTCCCATTTTCCACCGGATGGGCGGTACGTTGTCTTCTCGGATCACGACGAGCAGGCCTATGGAGATCGGAACTGCTGGTCGCCAACGTCTTGTTATTCCTTGCAGAACTCTTGAAGTTTCCTTTGTACTGCCTGGAACTGGGCTAATATGTTCATTGGTATCGTCGTGTAATCCAAATCCGGTAGTTGGTGCAGTGATGCTCCGGTTAGATCCAAATCATTTGGATCGTCGGACATGGCGCTCAACGGTCTCGAATTCAGACAAGCTTCCACTTGCACAGTTAACGTACTCATATCCTCTAACGATAGCACATGATCTCCTAGGACTCAAGCATGGGAAACATCTTTCACTCACGCGAGCACCACAGAATCAAAATAGCCATGCTCACCTACAAACAGATTGCCGAACGAGCGTAAATTATTCCAACCAAGTGACTGCGATCGAATCAGAACTGGCAGCAGTAGAAGGAAAGAAAGATAAACTGAAAGGTAGCCGAACAATTTTCTCTACCGATGGAGAACCAGATTGAATGCGTAAAATCCTAAAGCTGGGTTTAGACTAGGCAAGTCAAAAGATCAACTTAGTTGAATTCAATTGGCTTGAAAAGTTTAGCCTGGTTCAACTTTTTTCAATTTAAGTGATATGATCAAGTCAGTTTAATGGCATGGTTTACACGTTCAATTCGCGTTCAAGTCAGTTGAATTGTGTGTGTGCGTGCCTCGAAATGGGGAAGCATCGCTCGCGAAGCTCGGTGAAGGTCAAGAACCCCGGTGAAGGAAGCTCGGGTGTACCTACATCCAACAGGTCTGCTGTTCTCCCTGTTCGCTGGATGGAAATATCCAGCCTGCTGGGACGGAAAAAGGCAGCAAGAAGAGGAAGAAGACTCGGACGAACGGAGATTTCGGGGTCGCTGGGCGTCAAAGGCGAATTCAAGTTGGGCAGAATTGGCACCAAGAAGCCTACCTGAGGACTTCCAATGTTGAATTCTTCACCCACCACATGCCCGGTGAAAAACCGTTCAAGGTCGTCATCAGCGGCCTACCAAATTTCGACCCGAAGTTTATCGAACATGAAATCAGGGACTGGTATAAAGCTGGCCCCAAGCACCGTCTATTGTATGACAAGGAAAGACGAAAATGTGAAGGCGTATCCGGATTTCCTTTTCCAGGTACACTTCCAGAAGGGAACGGCGACGCTCAACGCGCTGAAAGCCATCCGCTCCATCAATTCCATCATCGTCCGCTGGGAGCCATATCGTGGTGGCCATCACGATGTGACTCAGTGCCAACGGTGTCTAAACTTTGGACACGACACCCGAAAATTGAACATTAAGCCACGCTTTGGCAATTGCGCTCAAAACCACGCAACCTCCGAATGTGCTGCGGATGAAGCTGTAGCGTCCAAATGCCCCAACTGTGATGGTGCTCCCCAAGGATCCGACAAGCAGTGCCCTAAACGCGAAGATTTCAAGCGCATCCGAAAATAGGCGTCCATCAACAATCAACCAGCACGAAGGAAGGATTGGCCCCAGCTTTCAGGGCGGAGGACTTTCCACCTCTTCATGGACAAGCGAATTCACGGGTGCGATAAGCCCCCCCTCAAGAATCGTCTGGATCTTCTGCTGGACAAAGCTCTTCATCCTCCCTGGATTCTGGAGACAACCAACAGCTAAAACAAATAATCTGGTGGAGATTTTCATCAACATGACCGGTGCTCTACGTAAGTGTCGCAATAAGCCCGAACAGATCCAAATGCTCGGTAAGTTCATCATCCAGCATGGTGTCTAAGCTGCTAACCATAGTTACCTGGGACGCTTTCCGAGCAAAGTCCAGCATCAAAATGACAATTGAAATTAAGTTTTGATATCAACATCAAACTGAAATCATATTTTAATTTCAGTTAACGCAATTGACAAATTTGATACCAAATTTTGTTTTCATTTTGCTGTACATTTGCTCTTCAAAACTATGTTGTTGCGGGTTTGTTTTCATTGCCTTAGCATAACATCAAATTGAGTACTTGTTTTGTTGTCAACAGGCAAAATGGATATTAAATTTAGTTTTCAGTTTGCTCTCACTGATAGCAGAAATAGTTTTCAATGTGATGTCACAGGAAGATTTGTTTGCTCTCAATTTTGATTTTTTAACCGTTAAAACGACCAAAACGACAGCAACCTGATTATCAGCGAAATCACAACATCAAATTTAGATTTCAATTTGATCTCAGACTTTTCTCGGGTTGCTCTGTAAGAGCTAAGCAGATTGAGCTTGCCGACTTCCTCCGCAAGCACAGCATCGACGTGGGTCTTCTAACCGAGACCCATCTAAAGTCCGGTGACAGCATCTGGTTGCCTGACTACAACATTATCCGGCTTGATCGCACCAGCTCTAAGGGAGGTGATTTAGCGGTCATCGTCAGAAAGGCAATCAAGTTCTGCACTCTGCCCCACATCCGCACTTCTATCATCGAGGCCGTTAGTGTGGAGGTGAAATCACCAACTGGAAACGTCCGGTTTATCGCTGTTTACTGCCCACGTCAGTGTACTGCAAGCAACGGTCTAGGAATAAAATTCTAGAATGGCCTGACCACCATCACCTGTACTAGCTCCCGATTCATCGTTGGGAGCGACCTGAATGCCTGCCATGAAGCTTGGCGGAACTACCAGTGGAACCGGAACGGATGTCTATTGTTCGACCACGCACAACACGGACTGTACACTGTGCAGTTTCCAGACGAACCAACTTTTATCACTCCAGCGGGAAATCCATCCACCCGGGATTTTTTTCCTGTCGAACATCGGACTATCCAAGCCGGAGCCGCACAACGATCTCAGCTCCGACCACCAACTGCTGGTGACTGAAGTCGGTGTCAACGTGGTTGCTGCTAGAAGAGCACTTCAGCACGTCCTTGGAGTAGTGGCATGAGGCCAAATCCGGCCAGAAGATTGTTGGGACGTTGTGGGCCTTCAGGAGAGGAAGCAGCCGCTTCTGGAGGCACTCTTTTATGTACACCTGTCCGTTAATCGTGTCCTGGGTCACGAAAGGTGCACTCCGCTTCCCGCACGTGCAGATGGCTTGCCAAATCAGGAATTTCTTCGCAAATTTGGACATCTTCTGAGTGCGGACATGCTCCGGAACGCTGAACTTATCCTTGGCCGTGAAAAACAAGTTGCCAGGGATCTGTTTGAAGTCGGCCTTCACATATGTTTCGTCGTCCATGATGCAGCATTTAACTTTCGTCAGCATGTTGAGGTACAACTTCCTGGCATGGGTTTTGGCGGACTTGTTCTGCTTCTCGTCGCGATTAGGGGCCTTTTGTACCTTGAACGTTCGAAGCCAGGCCTTAGTTTTTGCCTTCTGGACAAAACTTCGGCTTAGGTGCAGCTTCTTAGCCACATCCCTAACGGAGGCGTTCGGATTTCGGTTGAAGGCCCCAACTAAACTGCTGTTTGGTCAAGAGTTCGGATTTTAGTCGTGAAGTCGGTTAGCCACTTTCTATCATCTTGGTCGTATGAAGATGAGGGGATTGACATCATAAACTGGGACACGGAAAGCAGTTTCAGGTTGTCTTTGAACTGGAGTGCGGTTGGGCGTTTCTGTTTGAACCTTATCAACGAGAAAACGTTCTTGACGCAATCTTGCGTAAAACGAGAGGTGAACAAGCAAGGGTATTTCTGTTCGAACAGGAAGTACGTTTGTAAACGGAGGATCGAATTCGTACACAGGATTGTTGCTGCTTGCCATGGTTTCCAGGCTCTGCGAACACCAACCTTGCATGCGAATATTATTTTCCTGAACGAGGTTAGAAAATTGATCGATTGTCGATATGCTTCCATGTTATGGAGGGAAAGTGCCAATTCTGATCTACGTGAAGACATAAGTTTGAACCAACGCCAGGTAGTTTCTATGAAGAAAGCCGTGGTTAAAAGCTTCTTCTGCCCAGTTTCAGCACTCATGAACCGTAAAGCAGCAGCAACATCGTGATTCACCAATTTGTATGAATTGGAAACTTTCATCGCGTCAAGACGACTGCCATTTAAAAAATCTACCTCTTTCCAAATCAATCGAGATGCCATCTTCAAGCGCTTACCCATTTCAAACTTAACCAATTCTTGCAAGTGAAAAATATCAACGACATCAGAAACGAGATCGTTTTCCTTAACGATATGCGCTGGCAGATATATAAACCGATTTTTCACCCATCCTTGGACGCAGCTTTTGAAGACGTGAACAGCATCCGGTATAAGCTCAAAGGTCCGTTCGTCGTCGATAGGATGCTTCAAAGGAGGGCTACTTAGTGATTGATCCTTCGAATGATTCAAGCCGAAGTCATTCCACATTCGAACATTGTTCGGGCCACAGTCAGACGTTGCAAAGTGAACCTTCAATCCAATCTGTTCCGCTCTCCTGATAATGTCAATCATTGTAGCTTTCATGAACCCTTCTGGTACTGAATTTCCGGTGAACTCATACGCCACTATTTGTTTCCACCGACTTGAAATACCCACCAGCATAAACACAAGTGCGTGGGTGGCTTTTCCATGTTGTCCGGGAATGGTGATATCGCCAAAGTATTTTTTGTTGTTGCAACAATAGGTCCTACTAGGGTCGATCGACATTTCGTCCGCTATCAATCCGCAATCTCTTTCAGCAGATGACATGCAGTTTACCTTCGATTCCATCAAGGTAAACACCTCCGCTGAAACTCCAGTGTCAAAATGAAGGTTCTTCAAGTAGTCCTGTTGCGAGCGAATTGAAGGCATTGGAAAGTTCTTTTCATCGCGAAGGAAATTGTACCCAATTGATCCACATGCGAAGCGATATTCAAAACTGTCCGTTATGGTCTTATCAGTCCATTTTTTAACCCTCTTCTGTCCTCTCTGAAGCTTTTTCACTTGATCCGGGTTGAATAGCTTAGAGGCAGCATCCTCCTTGTTGCCGGAGAGCTTTTTCATTCGTGCCAAATTCTGCCGCAGCATTTTTATCGTTTTACTCTTCCGGAGGTCACGTTGTCTGAGGCGGTGTACTGTTCGGACTAGTCTAAGAAATGCGTAAAATATATATTAGAATTTAAACAGGTAGTAATTAATTATAATTACTTTTCGGTAGTCTTCGATTTCGATGGTCCCGAGCGTTCCGTGGAGCATGCCGTTAATGTCGTTCCCAGGGACTCGCTGGAAGCACTTGTAATGTACACCGACTGGTTTACACTGGTGGTGTCCTGTTAAAATATAGGCACGCGTTATATTTTTGTTTGTATCATACAAATATTTGGTTATCAAACCGAATCACAGGTACTGGAATTTGAACACAAATTCGCAACGTATTCGAATATCGGAACTGAGTTTGGATGTCGCATTAGTCTGCCGTTTTCTGATATTCGATACAGATCATCGTAGTTGAAATGAAGCTGGAAATATTATTATTATTATTGCAAAATCAATCTCAAAATTAGAAAATGTCTTACGCTGCAGAGCCTGCTGTTATCAGTAATGATGTAATCGTCCGGCAGCCTACAGAACTGAATCCACTTCTGCCTGTTTTCCTCATTTTTCGGAAATCGAAAGAAAGTTATGTTTTTGTATCCACTCACATACTGGTTTTTACAAAAACTCGCAACGCACTTCATTATCAGCAATCATTAAATTTTAATAACGATAAAAAACAATTCTGACGCGGGTAAAAACAACACAAATAGATGGTTGAAAAAAGTCACTTGAAGTGTGCCCTTCAGAAACAGTTGCCAGAACTTGTAGGATGGAATCATAATTAAAAGAGTGCTGCCGTTTCCACGGTTTTTCACTCTTCGCCTCTCTACCTATTCTCTCTGGGCGTAACTATTGGGGGTGCATCAGGCAGTGATGCCACATTTTTTCGAACTTAATTCTGTATTCTCGCGAAACATTTGAAAAGGGTCTATCCTCGTAGATCGATTCTCTTTATCGACTTTCTCTTTGATTTACCACGGCAACATAAACGAATTTCTCACTAAGCTCACAGGAAAGTTCGATAGAAGATGATGTTAGCTGTATAGTCGCTGTATTCATAGCCTGGCGGAGAGAATCTCGGGAACCAATTGAGCTGTCAAATAGCAGTTTGACCAATTGTGCTGTCAAATCACGACCAACAACAGAAAAGAGCACATCAGCTATTGCGAACAAAACTTCCGGAACCCGTTTTCTCGTGACTTAAGGCACGCTTACGTAAACTAACACCTTCTTTGGGCTGGGGAAAATTTCCCTATCCAATGATGCCGGTAATTTGCGTTCGATTGGCGAGGAAAGAATAATCAACGTTTTGTTTATAAAACTTGATAGTACCATTTCAATTGTTGGTCCATAATATATTGAATTGGTTCCAGTTTTTCATAGATCGAACTTCTATCCGAAAGACTATAAATTTTGAACTATAGTTAGCTTGCGCCTGAAACAACACACTGAATGAGAAATTCATTTACAGTCGGGTTATTCGCGTAAGCGAAAATCGATGAAGAGAATCGAGCTGATTGATTATTTAACTTTATTGGTTCGTCAAATATTAAATATAAGACTCAAATATAAGACTGTATGTAATAAGATTGTGCTTAAGGTATGTAGAGCACAATACAGCATCCAGTCGACCGGAAAAAATGCGGTGTCCAGATATTATAGCCTTGTTGGATTTCATACTCAACTTTAGTAACGTCAAAATTCAAATTCAAACAAAGACCCACATATCATTAAGAATTTTTCTTACTTCTTTTCCTTACATGCCGACTTGATCAATTTTGTCGGAATTCAAATTAGCAAGAAGGGTAACATACGACCATGGGTTGATAAATGTAGGTTTCAATTTAGAAAATGTGATTACCCAACAAACAATTATAGCTGCAGCTTAGCTTATACAAGCAAAAATTAGCTGCATAAGGCAAGTTTTGGCTGCATAAGCTAATCTGCAGCTAAAATTGTTTGTTGGGTATATCTCGCCTCTGTAGAGTTTTTCGTTTCACATTTTGTTGCATAACATAATGTCTTGAATTGATACAACAATTTGTCCTTTTTCGCATTTTTATCTTTCATGATTGCTACCAAACTAACTTTAACGCTTTAGATTGAAATACCTTTTTTTCAAAATGATGCACCCTATGCGAGACAAGCATTTATTTGGCTGGTTAACAAATTTCTCAAAATTCTCAATTCAGTGAAAATAGTCGTGGAATAAAACAGGAAACGATTCTAGGAACTGAAAACAACAGTGCTTGTCAGAAAATAAACTCGAAACATCGCTGATGGAGCATGTGGCCATCATGTGGATTTGTACATTTGATTATTATAAAAGCTTGAAAAAGAAAATAATAAAACAAAATTTATCTGTGCGGATAACTCTCAGCCAGCAATATCATATAATTGTATTTAATTACACATTGCTATGTTTGTGTGTTGAGTAGTTTATTATTACAGACGGAAGTTGTTGAAAGTATTGTATGAATGTTTACCCATTCTAATAAAACTCATAGCCTCATTCTACGCCATCGCTATAACCGGAATGCAACCAAACTTCCATAGATCTGACCACCGCAGCGCTATGGTGCCAACCGAAACCGAAACCTTAGTAACGAACGTCTAAATTCTCACTCCATGTGCTTTTTTTTTGCTCTATTTTTTCTCTCTGCAACGCGTGCAACATCGTTCATCGCTCTATGGCACATGCATTCGATTCCTCGGAATGCCCACTGGACTTTTGCGTGGCGGCGTCGGAAATAAAGGAACCTCGTCGTTGGTTTCGTACACCCCGATGACTGAATTAGACTACGGTACGCTGCTCTGCGTGGCAACCAACCGGATCGGCAAGCAGAGGCAGCCCTGCGTGTTCCACATTATTGCTGCAGGTAGGTGAACTGACTTTGGTAGACGGTAGACCACTTTTTTCCCGCACTCTTTTATGAATTTCCAACCCCATACTCTTATTGTTCTCGCGTCTGGCAAACTGCAAGTACCGCAATTTGCCTAAATTTCTACAACAAAGGAATAATAAACTGCGAAGTGTAACGGCATGAGTGCTATCTTCTGTTTGAAAAGTATAGGTACAGATCGTGTGTTGGAAATGTTTGGGAAGATTTGATTGCATGCTGTTGCTCTCTATGGACTTAATCGTGAAACTTCCGGAATTAAACGATTGAGGCTTATTGTGTACTAATGTTTTGGACTAGCATAAACAACAAAAAATCGCGATTGGGCGATGCAATTTGTTCATTAGTAAAAACCTACATATGTTCAGGAGAATGATTCCTCTGATCGCTCAATATCTCGATATTAATGCTGCAGCTACAACGGTTTTAAAAGAAAATAGAGGGACTCCCGATAATCTAGTTTATAAAAGCATCGTATATGCTGCCGAAGGCAATGGCTTCGAGCGACCGGTTTTAAAATTTGTCGGCTTAGAAAATTCCTAAATATCCCCGAGAAATGATTGCGTTAGCCACATAAAACAAGTTAAAAGCTCTTAAGTAGCAACTGTAGAAGTCCTCTAAAAATATTATGCACTAGTCGTAGTTGTCGATCCTGCAACTGGAGAACAACAAATGGGCCGAAAGTATTTTGAGGTAGATGTCCCATTTGCAGTGTTGTATCAATAACTTCACCGCTCGTGTAATTTTAATAAAGCGTTTAAAAAAAATCAATCGAAAAAATCAAGAATTTAAGGCTGAGTAGGAGTTTATTTTATTATTGAAAACCAAAATCCATAGAACAAACAATCTCGAACAACTAATTCCCAAAAACAACCACTTTAGACAACCACTGAGTGCTAGCAAGAAAACTGGAGTGTCGCATATTAGATTTCAACCACATATAAACTATGTATCGCTGTGTTCAGGAGGAAGGGGTTGGATTTGAATTTTAAAATACCCAACGAGGAAAACAACTGCAAGGACCAGTCCAAAGTGGGAAACTTTTTTTTTTCTGATTAATATTTAATTTGTTCCTATCGCTGACTACGCCTTCGTTTTGCCTCCAAGCAGCCATCTGTAGCAGCAGAGCATCCCGTTGCTACTGGTAGGTGAACACTGACTGCCACGATTCGAACTCGGTCACTTTCGTGTTTGGGCTGTGTGACAAAACTTTGCGGGTCCTGACGATCCTTGCCATAAACCCGGTTACTATGGCGTCGACCGTTCTCACGAAAAGTTTGGAGATGATCTGGAAATAGAAAATTAATGCATGAGTAAACTGCCCGTATAGGAGGCCGCCTAAAAAGGGTGGGAAATAATTTGGTTTGTGGTTTTCGTAGTTAAATTCTGTACCAACATGATTGGGTTGAAAGTTTCCAATGCTGGATGGTTTGTTTTCAAATAAGAATACATCTTGTTTTGGTTCCTCGTGTGTTTGCACGTTCTTTAATTCTATAATATAAAAAAGTTGATTTGAGAACTGCTAGCCAGAGTTCGCTTTCAGTTGTAGAAGTTGCCGCAGTTTTGTCAAGCGCTGTCGACAGTTTGGTAATTTCGGGAAAAAATCTACTCAACAAAACCGACTGTTTATTTTAGTAAAGTAGTCTTATATCGATAGCAAACGTAGCTTATTTGAATTTAAATTTTTTTTTGTCAAATTCTCAAACTTTCTATGCCATCAGGTTCCGTACAGATACCTTAGTGGAGGCATGCCTCCATCTCCTCTTGAAATCATTGATGCCATTTCCTCTTTGTTTCGAATAGTTTCCGCTTAACCAGGGCCCAGCACCTTTCTATTGGGCGAAGTTCTTGACAGTTTGGCGGATTGGCTGTTTTTGGCACGTATTTGACCTCTTGTGCATTATACCATTCCAGGCAAGGGGTAATCAACTCTGCACATTGTGCCGAAACATATCGTAGCACACTTATTGGCGCGTCATGGCACACGATGATAAGTACGACACAAAATATAATATAAAATGTCAGCACTGTTTTGTGATGACATTTTTCCAATCGTTGCTAAGGTTTACTTCTTAGTTTACTTCAAAGTAAGTACCATTTACCAGCGAAATTGTCCTCAATCATAATAAGAGATGTATAATTGACGAAACTCTCCTTGTCCTCATGCCTTCTGCGGGATGAACCTCTACAGAAAGTCCACACGGCACATCTCATAGTTTTAGGGGATTCCAAACAAACTATTCAGAGTCACCACGCCCCGTAGAATAGGCCAGAATTAACTAGAATTAAATATTAACTCGATGGTCATAGGATCCGGACCGAGAGTAAATTGTATGGGTAAGGGGCTTTGCAGCGATAATATACGGTGTCAACAACACCACGGTGCCTAACGTTCCTGCCATTCTTCAGATGTATCTACAATCGCAGCTGTTTCTCCCGCAGAATACCCTGGTACGATTGATGGTTCACCAATGAGTCAGCCATGCAGCTCATTCTATGGACTGAACTCGGATTCGATTGACTGTGGAGGTCTCTTTACGCTCTTTCGCAACTGTTCGTATCACCCGATGGCAACAGCAACATTAGCCCCTTTTCCTTCTCGCGGAGGGGCTAATCTTCGAGTGCCACTTCCTTGAAACAGATGACCGGCAACCAGCTCGTTGTATATTATCACGACTTTTTTCCGTCCTTGACTTGAAAATGTAAACACACAATCTCAAAAGTCATAAGTTATGGGTTATGGGTTACTGAGACTGATAGCTTGTTTGCCACACTTCGGCACGTTCAGCAAAACGCTTGACCTAGCTTTTGGCACAGATGCAGTTCTCGGCGCAGATTGGGATGGGCAGAGTTGAATACCCCTTGATTCCAGGACAGATTTTGCATAGTGACAAGAAGCCAAATCAGGCCAAAACAGAGCTGGAGTGTCATGACTTCTGATGAATGGTAGCAACCGCATTTGCAAACATTCTTTCTCGTACACATCTTTGTTGATAGTGCCGGTAGAGATGAAACTTTTGGATTTCCGGCCGCAACTACAAATATTTTTTGAGGAATTTCCTAAGCTTTTTTTGTCCGGAAACACTCGGCAACGGCATTCCATTGCATCGCAGTATAAAAAGCCAAACCAGGAAGCTGTTCAAAGTCTTCGAGCACGTATGTCTCGTCGTCTATTTTGACACAAGATTTTTTTTTTTGTAAAAACTGGGTGAAAAGCTCCTTAGCCCGACATTTTTCAGTAAAATTTTGCTTATCATTAATATTGGGCACATTTTTCAATTTGTACGCCTTCAGCCCATGCCTCTGCTTCATTTTTTGGACATATGATTTTGATTTTCCAAATTTGCGAGTCACATTACGAACTGAAAGGTTTGGATGTTTCTCAATAATTGCTACCACCTTCTGGTCCATTTTTCGAGAGCATACTTTTCGATTTGTTCCGCTTCTAACCTTCCAATTCACAGTTAAATGCGGGTCAAACGATTTTCACACACTAAACACGGAACTCTTCGGTAGTTTTAGCTTTTTGGCGAGAGTGCGTACCGACAACGTTGGATTTTGCTGCCGTTCCACTTGATTCGACGCCATTTTACCAAGCTGGACAAGAATGTAAACATGATGTTCCACGAAATAAAGTGGACAGCTGTCAAATAAGTGAAAAGATTCAGTTGTTCGTGAAATATTTTCAAAACTACACTGAAAGAAAAGTGTCCGAAATTTACCGTGAACAGGCTTTATGTATCTAAGTGTGCTAACATTGTTCTTGCTTTAGCATTTCAGTATTTTAAACAGGTTTTCTATTTGTTCACATCAACAGGCTCTAAGCCCCAAGTCGTTCACAAAGTTAAAAAAAAACACTATACTAGTGATTGGATCTCCAGGAAAAAACGCAAAGAATCTTCGTCGCAGTGACTCACGAGACAGATGAAAGTTGAACCAACAAACAATACGAAAATAACGATTTTAAATTGGCTCACTACTTGACTAGCCTATTGGTCCCAAGTACATCTATAAGCGTACCCCATTCTAGTCGAAATTCTAGTACTACACTATGTTTGTTTTGATTCGCTATGAAAGTTTGACAGATAAAATGAGGGGTTAGTGGATTTTCCTATGTTTCGAGGGGTGAATCGATTACCTTGGGAACGAAGAGAGTACCAGAGCTGAGCCAAAAAGTTGAGTACGTTATTTCGGGACCTTCGTTACCTCTATGGTTGAACACCGCTTCTAATCTGTTGAAAAGTCTCTGTAATCCGTTAAAACCACTATGCATGGCGTAGTTGGTTCGGGCCAGTGGTAATTGGAGCAACAGATTGTTATGCAAAGACCACGGCTGCACGAAGACGACAGGCTACCGGCCCCTGATCTTCAAGAAGTTGAAGAGGAGATCGGTCGGCTGAAGAACAACAAAGCAACTGGTGTAGATCAACTACCAAGTGAGCTATTAAAATACGGTGGTGAAGCACTGGCTAGAGCGCTGCACTGGGTTATTGCCAAGATGTGGGAGGAGGAGATGTTACCGGAGGAGTGGATGGAAGGTGTCGTATGCCCAATCTACAAAAAGGGCGACAAGTTGGATTGCTGCAACTACCGCGCGATCACACTGCTGAGCGCCGCCTACAAGGTACACTCCCAAATTCTATGCCGCCGTCTGTCACCATATGCAAGAGAGTTCGTGGGGCAATACCAGGCGGAATTCATGGGTGCCCGCGCTACCACGGACCAAATTTTCGCGATTCGGCAGGTTCTGCAGAAATGCCCCGAATACAACGTGCCCACACATCATTTGTTCATCGATTTCAAATCCGCATGCGACACAATCGATCGAGATCAGCTATGGCAGATTATGCACGAGTACGGACTTCCGAATAAACTGACGCGATTGGTCAAGGCGACGATGGATCGAGTGATGTGCGTTGTTCGAGTATCGGGGACACTCTCGAGTCCCTTTGAATCTCGAAGAGGGTTACGGCAAGGTG